TTATTCGTATTTCGTTGTGATTATTACGCTTTGATAATTTTTGATCCCATTCTGCATTGAGCTAATATTATTTAAGTCTATTCGGATCCTTCGTATTTCACAACAAATTCAGATATGGGTGCAAGCGAATGTCTCCATTCTTCTTCATGGTCAGCTTCACTCATTGACCAAATGAAACCATGACCATTTTCAAGATTGTTATCAGCATATTCAACCTCAGGTTGTGGGAGTAAAGAAACTTTAGAGAAACTCGGGACAACAAATTCCTGTCCCACAACAACTCTATAAGACAAAACAACACCAGGTTTCAAAACTGCCCCTGACTTCATTACAACTCCATCGCATAATATCGCATGCCTTAGTTTGCATCCATCTTCTATTTTTACATTATTCAATATATGGCATCCATCAATGAAAACATTAGAACCGATATTACACCCATCCCCAACAACCGAATGTGAAACTACCATGCCATTCCCAATAATCGTGTCTTCCCCGATGTAAGTAAATGGGCCAACTCGTGATTGTGATTGTGATTGTGATTGTGTTATGACATGCCTTTCCGATTTGGTGGGATTATTGATTGAAGAAACTAAAGGGCGTGTCAAAGAGTAACATTAAATTTTTACTTATGGAGTCATAGCTTCTAAAGTTATCCATTCGAGCAGCATAACTTGTATGGATTTCATGAGTGAAGATTTTGAAACCCGTGAGCTCATCAGCACCAGCAAGTAATCGTTTAACAAAGTGGCAACGGAGATGTTGGTAATCAAGATTGTCTGTGAAAAGAAGACTAAGGACTTGTGATGAGCATATGTCGATTTAACAATCTTGTTTATCCTTGTGTAAAGATAAGCAAGGGTGGCTTCCAGTGAGAAATGACTCATCTGCTTTATCTTCATAATATATGAGTTATTTTGTAGTAGAATCGATTGCCATGATTAATTCATCGGTTCCAAGATGAGGTGTTGATGGTTTTATGACCATTGTCATGATAGCATTGTTGTCCTTCTATTTTCTCTATTTGTGTTCTTTAAGGGCTTGTGTGAGCATCATGTCGCTTACTGTATCACCACTAACAAGTATGAAATCACCTTTAATCATATCACGTAAACCATCAACAGCACTTGTACAATTGTGGGATTCGATTGGTGTGACTGAAAAGTTTGGTTCGTTGACCCATTTGGACTGGCCTAAGTAGCTGATTATTTGTTTGGAATGTGAACAACACAACACAAAAACTTCTTCAACATCTGCAGATTCCAGCCATGCTAATGTGTAGTCGATCATGGGGGTGTTCACTAATGGTAAAAGAACTTTTGGGCATTCCAGGGTGATAGGTCTGAACTTCGTGTTCAAGTTGTCAGCTATAATAATGGCTTGTAATGGAACACGTGCCAAATCATCTTCTCCTGCTTTTACACCTTCCTTAGCTACCATTCTTTCCTAGCTTTAACTTTCAACAAGATTCCTTTTCCTCTCCCTGCAATCTAAGAAACCAACATTGTAAGTTTCAGATGAACATATTAAAAAAAAACCCTCAATTTGGGGCAGTAGTTGCATCCATATATGAAAGACATACATAGATACTTAATGTTTACCCAAGAACCCTGCACAAAAACTACTATAAGATTTCTTCTTTATTCCATCATCTTTATTGCTAATCATTCAACCAACCAAACACTGTTAAACTAAAACAAATTAAAAACTCTACAGTAAGCCTATTCAGAAAACCCTCGATGCAGATTTCATAAAGCCCCAAAATTAAACATAACCCTAATTCTTCCAACCCAAGTGCATCTCCGAAAATCAAATCAACACATTACAGATGGTATAGCCGTATAAACATATGAAAAGCAACAATATATCACTATTCATTCTTTACGCTTCTATTTTCTTCACGATTCTGCTTCAGAGAACTCATTGGAAACAGTATGGTTCTTCAGTTCTTCATTACTCTATCTTCTCAGTTTTATTTCTTTTAACCTAATTTACTCAATAAATCAAGATCATAACAAAGTTGCTAACATAAGTTATTGAATCCTTCCTCTCTGTACCGGTTATAATTTCCTTGATTTTCTGGTAATTTGTTGCATATTCATCCTCCACGACAAGAACAACTACACAAGGTTAGCAATCTGAACTCATGCATTAGTAAATATTCGATAGCTGCATATATTTTTCATAGTTGTGATGTTTGTGTACTTAATTCTTCCTCTTTAACAATTGTACAGTTTTATTGTTTACTCTTTAACTTCAACTGTTTTTTTGGTGTTTGTTGATGTATGTATATATAAATCCATTGAGTTTAATACAAACAAAATCATAGAAATATATGCTTCTACAACATTGATCGTTTTTTGGAATCCTATTATTCATGCGAATCATCTTTGAGTTATACATATATCTTCAAATAAGTATCTTCAATTGATAAAATATTTCAATTCATCATTTTATGTTATTTACATTAATAAAATATTTCAATTCAAAATTTTTTAAATTAATGATACATTATTTTATTATATAATCATTTAACTATTTATATATACTTTTATTTTTATTAAAGTTTAAACTTTGTATTTGGTGTCTCTAATGCCCCTTCATTATCTCTATACAGACTTAACTTAATTCATACATATTTTTTAGGTATCATACTTTCAGAAAATAAATGGTACTTTTTTCCCACTACCAATTCATTATATTAAATATTTATGCCATATCACAATTTGAGAAATTTGTTTTTTACTGTTTATACGTTATTTACATTTGACAATGAATTAGTATACCAAAATTACCAATTATGTTGAAACTACTCCCATAGGGACAATTTTTTGACGTTTACAGTTGAAACACTGATTTTTTGGGTGCATATTTCTTATTTGCTATATTTGTGATAAATAGCAACCATTTTAGTATGTATTTGTACAATTTCGATAACTGCATATATTACTTTACAAAAATGTTATTTGCTTACATTTCTATATGGTTTCAATCGTTTTGCAGGAAATGAATATAAGGAAGAAAGTTTACCTAAAAAACATTGATCAAATTGATGATAATTCACACATCAAGATACGGGTGCTGAAAATTTGGAACTTTACCAAGAATAATACGGTTTGTTCAATTGAAATGATCCTGATGGACGAGGAGGTTTGTTGTATTTCTTATATTTTTTGTAGCCCATTCAATATTACATATGTTGCAAGAAACATATAATTCTTATTTATTTGATTAAACAGGGTACAAAATACCATTCTCGTGTCTTCAATCAGAATTTCTCCAGATTTGGTCATTTATTAAAGGAAGATGAAACTTATATAATTCTAAAACCCAATATGGCGGCTGTTATTAATGGTTTTAGTTATACAGGTCATAAGCAAACACTAACTTTGGATTGGAAAAGTATCCTAAAAAAATGTGACGACTTCTCCGGACCAGTGAATGGATTTATGTTTCTTGATTTTAATTCTATCATAGAACAAACATGCCCAAGGGACGCATTCTTTGGTTAGTTATTAAATTTTATTCCAATTACTTTTTTGATTTGTGTTCTTTATTATACATTTTTTTATGTTAATGTTTTAATATTAATGCAATAGTATAACTTGTGTTATACTTGTGTAGATGTTATTGGACAGATTGTCTCAATTCGACCGCTTGAAACACCAAACCCTGTAACATCCAAGCATTATATCAAACTCACACTTAGCAACCTAGAGTCAGCTTATATTATTTTTATTACCTTATTGTCTTTAATTAAATCACAATTTAATAGTACTAACTAATTTTATTGTTAATTTAGGTCTGTACATCTTAAGGTTACTATCTTTGGAACACAAGCATACTAGATGTCACAATACCTAAAAGATAACCCCACGGTTAATTGTGTTGTTATAGTGATTCAATTTGTAAGGCTTAACATTTGGGATGGTTTGTATTCACACATTATATATATATATATATATATATATATATATATATATATATATATATA